TGTCGCGCGCGCACAATACTCTGACGCATGTGGTCGTAGCTGTTTGGCCGGACTTCGAGGGAACAGCCGATCAGAGCCCCGCTGCTGCGGGGCCCCTCCACGACCTCCCTGATATCTTCCTCCCTGAGCGTCGCCACCATCTCTTGCCACCGCCAAGGGACTTCCTCGTCGCTTTCGAAACCAAAGCTCGTCCTTGCACCGCGGTCGCAAACAGCGACCATGGTGGGCTCGCATTGTCAAACCACTTGGCTTCTGACTCGAACGGGGCAGTTGGGTCTTCATTCAGATGGCGCCACCATTTCAACGCTCGATTGTGTTGCTGAAACGAAGTGCCGAGCCTCTCTTCATAACTCAAAAAATAATTAACATCAAACTTCTCAAAATCCTGGGGCCCGCGCGCCGCCGCCGCTGCGGTGGCGCGGGGCTCCTGCGCCGCAGGCGCGGCTCGGGATCCCGACCCCTCTCCTGAAACTGCGCCCCCAGGTTCTGGCACGTTTCGGAGGGCAGCCCTCACGAAATTATCGAATTCGGGCATGCCGAGACCAGGGGCGCGGGGGCTCACAACGCTAAGCGCGGCGAAGCGAGACGGCCGTTGAGGCGAGACCGCCGCCGCTGCTGCGGCGGCAGGGCCATCGCGCCATTTGGCGTCCTCCGTTGGCGTGTGCCCGTCTTGTCGCCAGTCTCTCCAACCCCTCGCTGACCAATCATGGCCGTCCTCCCAGCCACGCCAGCCGCTGCTGCGGCTATCCCACCATCCTCCCGCGCCATCCCATGTGTATCCGCCTGCATCGCCCATTGCAAGACGATGGCGCAGGCGCGCGTTAGGCCGCGACGGGCCCAGCTGCACCGGTGCTCGCGGGCGATCCCACGGGCGCGGGATGGTTTGAGCATAGCGGCGGCGGACGACGCGACGTGATTGGACGGCGGAGAACTTGAAAGGAAGGGGGGTTGGAAACGAATGAACGAAGTGGACGAAGAGCGGAAATCGAACCAGAGGGGAGGCGAAAAAAGAGCGGAAAAGAATAAGGACATGCAGACGAAGGAGAGTGACGAGGTAGATGGCGGGCCAGAACGGCAACGGAGGATAATGTGGTGGAAATTGTGAAAAGGACGCATGGAAAAACACGACGAGGATCACAGACGCAAAGATGATGAGCGCAGTGGTAGCATGACATATCCGAAATCAAGAAGCAGGATGACGAGGAACGGGATGACGAGCAACTCTGTCGCAGAGAGCCTCCGAACGCACCCCCTCTGTCACAGAGGGCCTCCGAACGCACCCCCTCTGTCACAGAGGGCCTCCGAAAAACACCCCCTCTTTCACAGAGGGCCTCGATGATCACTTTAATGCGGCTTCTGGATTATTTTCCAATATTTTCTGGGTTTCCGTCTTGCCCCCCACTTCCCATATTTTCCCATATTTTCCTGGGAGTCGCCGATTATTTGTCTGTGTGTGTGTTTTTCCATTCTGAACTATGGCATGACGGAGAGTCCTGTCCAGGAGTTCGGGCCTGGAGTGCATCTTCTGCCTGCCACCCAGCTGGAGGAGCACAAGGCGGAGCTCCTCAAGCTGCAGGGCGGCGTGCAAGAGGCCAACCACGGCGTCGACTTCCAAGGCGTGCTCCGCGAGTTGTGCAGGCCGTGGGGAACGAGCGGGTTTTTTTGGGGGTTTTTTTTGTTGCAATCCTTCGTTCGAGTGAGAGGAGAGCGCCGGCGCGGCTGGCCATGGCTGCCTTCGCTGCTACCGGCTGGTCCGTCGGCTGGGTCCGGCCGCAACGAGGGCACCACGGGTCTACCCGCCGGCCCGTCCGGACCCTGGCATCCGACCTGGCTCCCATGCCTTCAGCTTTCAGCATCGTCATCCTTATCATCAGCATCACCATATCATCCTGATCAGCATCATCGTCGACATCGTCGTTCTGGTCGTACTAGTCACCCTCATGTTCATCATGGTCATCACCAGCAGCATCATGATCAGCATCATCATCACCATCGTCGTCATTCTCGCAATCCTCATGTTCATAATCACCACCACCATGATGATCGTCAACATCCTCGTCATCAGCATCGTCATCACCACTACCGTCACCACCACCATCATCGCAATCATCATCAGATTGCGGGGGCCGAACGGTCATTCCCTGTCGCTGGGCGCGTGGCTGAAGTGAGGATCTGCGGTGCGGATTATTGCTGTTGGTGCTGTTGTTGGTAGTGGTGCCGTTGCTGTTGCTGTCGCTGTTGATGTTGGTGGTGCTGTGGGTGTTGTTGGTGTTGTTGGTGTTGGTGTTGCTGGTGTTGCTGCTGTGTTTGTAGGTGGCGTTGGTGATGTGATTGTCGCTGGTGGTGGTGTTATTGGTGTTGTTGTTGGTGGTGGTGCTGCTGCTGTTGTTGGTGTTGCTGCTGCTGCTGCTGCTGGTGTTGTTGCTGTGTTTGGGTTGTTGCTGCCAGTGTTGTTGCTGTGTGTGTTGGTGGTGTTGGTGTTGTGATTGTTGTTGTTAGTGTTGTTGCTGGTGTTGGTGTTGTTGGTGGTGGTGCTGTTGTTGGTGATGCTGTTGCTGTTCTAATTGTTGGTGGTGTTGTTGGTGGTGTTGCTGATGTTGTTAATGGTGTTGTTGGTGGTGTTGGTGTTGTTGCCGTTGTTGTTGTTAGTGATGTTGCTGTTGCTCTCTCACTCCTGAAGAATAATAATTGCTGATCCCCCTCACCTGTACATATTGTTGTTCTCAACCAAAGTGTGCCCTTCGACGCTCGCACCCGTTTTTTCTTGGGCAGGGGAAATATTCCTGGTCAAACTGGACCCGTGGTTCCCGGGTTACAGCAACAACGGCTCCCGCCTGAGACTTCCTCACGATTTAGCCAGGACCCCCGCTCCCGCCTGACACCTCCTAGCATTTTATTCAGGAATCGCGCTCTCGCTTAGGACTTCATGACAATGTATTTAGGAATCGTTCTCTCGGCGCTCTGGAGTCGCGCTCTCGCTGGAGACCTGATTACAATTTACTTACGGATAGCACCCTTGCGTTGGAATTTCCCTCAATTAACTCAAGCGCCGCGCTCCCGACACTCAGGCACCCAAGGAGTCGCGCTCACGCTTAGGACTCCCTCTCAGACTGTTTAAGAAACGGGATATCGTTGCCTTTTCGTGGCCCCGTTGCAGCCCTTCGTGGCTCCCTCGCTGCCCTTCGTGGACCCCTTGTAGCCATTCGTGGCCCCCTCGCTGCCCTCCGTGACTCCGTTGCAGCCCTTCGTGGCCCCCTCGCTGCCTTTCGTGGCCCCGTTGCAGCCCTTCGCAGCCCCATCGCTGCCCTTCGTGGCTCCGTTGCAGCCCTTCGTGGCCCCCTCGTTGCCCTGGGTGGCCACATATATGTATGCCCTTCGTGGCCCCCATCGCTGCCCTTCGTGGCCCCATTGCAGCCCTTCGTGGCCCCCATCGCTGCCCTTCGCGGCCCCGTTGCAGCCCTTCGTGGCCCCCTCGCTGCCCTTCGTGGCCCCCTTGCAGCCCTTCGTGGCCCCTTCGCTGCCCTTCGTGGCCCCGTTGCAGTCCTTCGTTGCCCCCTTGCTGCCCTCCGTGACTCCGTTGCAGCCCTTCGTGGCCCCCTCGCTGCCCTTCGTGGCCCCATATGTATGCTCTTCGTGGCCCCCGCTCGTTCGCGCCCGTCGTGGCCCCATCGGCATGCCCTTCGTGGCCCTGCTGTCGCCCTTTGTGGCCCCCTTCGCTGCCCTTCATGGCCCCATTGCAGCCCTCCGCGGCCCAGTATATGTATGCCCTTCGTGGCCCCCGCTCGTTCGCGCCCGTCGTGGCCCCATGCGCATGCACTTCGTGGCCCCGCTGTCGCCTTTCGTGGCCCCCTCGCTGCCCTTCGTGGCCCAGTTGCTACCCTCAGCGGCCCCGTCGTTGCCTTCTGTGGCCCCGCATTATCTGCCCTTCGTGACCCCTGCTTGTTCGCGCTCTTCGTGGCCCCATACGCATTCCCTTCGTGTCCCCGCTGTCGCCCTTCGTGGCCTACTTCGTGACATTGGTGGCCCCCACTGTCGCTTTCTCTCTCGCTGTCGCTTTCGCTCGTCGTCGTCGTCGTCGCCGTCGTCGTCGTCGACGTCGTCGTCGTCGACGTCGTCGTCGTTCTCCTGTCCGTCCCTCTTGGGGTCGGGATGCCGCCGATCAGCGCTGCCGCTCGCCAGGCCGACGGTCCGCAGCCGCCCCGCCGCTTGCCGGCCCGGCCTGCAGGGAAGAAAGGCTTACCTCCCGAAAGGGGTACGATCGAAAACGAACAGGGCGGGTATCGAGAGTTTGGGAAATACGCGTTAACGGACACTCGAGCAAAAAGACAAACAGTCTTAAAATGATTGTTGGTGTTGTTGTGTTTGCTGGTTTTGTGTTGTTCTTGTTGGTGTTGTCGTTGTTGCGTTGCTGTTGGTGGAGCTGTTGTTGTTGGTGTTGGTGTTGGTGTTGGTGTTGGTGTTGGTGTTGGTGTTGGTGTTGGTGTTGGTGTTGGTGTTGGTGTTGGTGTTGGTGTTGGTGTTGGTGTTGGTGTTGCTGGTGTTGCTGGTGTTGTTGTTGGTTGTCGTCGTCCCCTCCGCGACCCGGCCCGCGGCCCACCCGCGACCCACCCACGACCCACCCGCGACCCACCCGCGATCCCACCTGCGACCCGCCCGCGACCCATCCCACAACCTACCCGCGACCCACCCGCGACCCACCCCGCCACACGGCCCGCCACCCACCTGCGACCCACCCGCGACCCACCTGCGACCCACCCGCGACCCACCCCACGACCTACCCACATCGCTTTAACGAAGAATTGGCGCCTGAGGCGGACTCGTCGTAGAGCTTGTAAACATTAGGCGGCACCTGCGACGGGATTCTGCAGAGCCTCGCAGAGTACCGACGTCCCCGCCGCCCCCTCACTCTTATCCGCAACCGAGGGTTGCTACAGTAATCATCAGCAGCACCATAATCCTCCTCATTGTCATCCTCCGAGTCAAACCGCGCACGGCCCCGCCTCGCGGAGCGCTGCACGCGGCCTGAGCGCCCCTGCGTGCCTCGGGGGAAGGCGCTCGTAGCAGTGACGCCGCCGCCGTCACCGCCTCCGCCGCCACCGCCTTCGCCTTCGCCGCCGCCTTCACTGCAGCCGCCGTCCCCGCCGCAGTCGACGCCTTCGCCGCCGTCGCCGACGCCGCTGCCGTCGCCGACGCTGCTGCGCCCCAGCCGCCGACGTTGGCGCCGTTGCTGCTACCGCTACTGCTGTTCCTACTACCCGGTGCAAAGGAGGGGGAGACAGAGGAAGGCGAAGTCTGGGGCTGGGGGTCCTGCAGGTTTTGGAGGTCCTTGTAGGCTGCAGGGGGGGGGTTTGAGGATTTGGGGGGCTTTATGGAGTTCAGCTGGAGCAGCAGCAACAACAGCAACAATCTCCAAACGCCGCCCCGCGACTGCACGGCGTCTTTCATGAATCCGACTGATGGAAACTAACGTCAGGTGACTGCGCGAAGACGCCAGCCTGGTCGTGTCGCAGCAACCTTCCGTGCAATCATCTCAATCGCCGTTGGCCTTAATCTGGAGACAAAGTTAGAGTCTCACGCAATTCGTCCTTGAAATCCGAATCCCACCAGCGCGCCAGAGACGGCTCCCCGAAACCGCGACCGACCTATGCACAATGGCACAAAATAGAAGACTCTACTTCCCATCGGATTACTTCCAGCAAGAGCGATGCTGCGTGGATCGACGTCAGGAGAAAACCATGACGTCTGGGGTCTGGGCTCGAGGCTCGAACATCGAGGTGCTGAGAGGCAACTCCTGGGAGGTGCTCGCAAATAAGACGAAGGGCGAGCAAGCCCGACTGGGGAGCCACTGAGACCGAGACGGACCAGGCCAAAAGAGGCCAAGAATGGAGCCGGACGGAGCGGGGTTCAGGGGCACAGTGCGGAATGAGACAAAATCAGCTTGGTTTTCGACCACGGACATACAAGCGCCAGGAGGAGGAGGAGGAGGAGGAGGAGGAGTTGGAAGAGGAGGAAGAGGAGGAGGAGGAGGAGGAGGAGGAGGAGAGAGGAGTTGGAGGAGTTGGAGGAGTAGGAGGAGGAGGAGGAGGAGGCGGAGGAGGAGGAAGAGGAGGGGGAGGGGGAGGAGGAGGAGGAGGAGGAGGAGGAGGAGGAGGAGGAGGAGGAGGAGGGATGCTGAATCTCACCTTCCAGGAGCTGCAGCCTAGAAGCTGCGAGGTTCGTGGACGTCCCTCGCCCCTTTTCAGGGGGCCGCCGGGAGCGCCCTCGTCGCCGCGGCGGAATCCGCGTCGGGATTCTGGGATCGGAGCGCACACCAGCATGGATCTGGACGCTGCTTCTTGACCTCCGATTTTACGGGGACCCCTCGTGCCCAGGCAGCAGGGATCGCGACAAGAAGATTTTGTTCGCTGTCGTGGGCGTGGGTCCCTGGGGGGACGTAGGGTGCCACGGCTGGATTCACCTCGAACCTCTCAGGATAGCCCACCTCAGGATGGGCGTGGAGTCGCTGTGTAGGAAGATTTTCACCACTGCAGACCCCGACGCCCATCGCGTCCTGGCACAGATCGCGACGGGAGATTTTTCGCCGTCTTCGGCCCCCAGGGGCGCCTGGTGGTTACGGCTAACTCCACTTCAAAATTCTCCTTTAAAACAAAACAAAAAACGCACCCAGGGCCAATGAGGAAACTGCTTTCGATCTCTCAGCCGCAAAACCTCCCGCGCCCTGTGTTTGTGTTGTTTGTGTGCATGTGTGTGGGTGAGTGTGAGTGTCAGTGTGTGTGTGTGTGCGTGCGAATGTGAGTGTGAGTGTGTGCGCGAGTGCGGATGCGAGTGCGCGTGTGAGTGTGAGTGTGTGTGAGTGCGAGGGCGAGTGCGAGTGTGAGTGTTCGTGCGAGTGTGAGTGTGAATGTGAGTGTGAGTGTGAATGCGAATGTGAGTGTGAGTGTGAGTGCGAGTGTGGGTGTGAGTGCGAGTGTGAGTGCGAGTGTGAACGTGAGTGTGCATGCGTGCGCGTGCGCGTGTGCGTGTGCGTGTGCGTGTGCGTGTGCGTGTGAATGTGAGTGTGACTGTGAGTGTGACTGCGAGTGTGAATGTAAGTGCGAGTGTGAGTGTGAGTGTGTGTGAGTGTGACTGTGACTGTGACTGTGAGTGTGAATGTGAGTGCGAGTGCGGATGTGAGTGCGAATGCGAGTGCGAGTGTCAGTGCGAGCGTGAGCGTCAGGGCGAGTGTGAAGGCGAGTGTGCGTGTGAGTGTGAGTGTGAGTGTGAGTGCGAGTGTGCGTGCGAGTGTGAGTGTGAATGTGAATGCGAGTGTGGGTGTGAGTGTGGGTGTGAGTGTGAGTGTGAGTGCAAATGCGAGTGCGAGTGCGAGTGTGGGTGTGGGTGTGGGTGTGGGTGTCGGTGTGAGTGTGTGAGTGCGAGTGCGAGTGCGAGTGTGAGCGTGAGTGCGACTGTGAGCGTGAATGCGACTGCGAGTGCGAGTGCGAATGTGGGTGTGAGTGTTAGTGCGAGTGTGAGCGCGAATGTGACTATGAGTGTGAGTGCGAGTGCGAGTCTGAATGTGAGTGTGGGTGTGTGAGTGTGCGACTGCGAGTGTAAGTGTGAGTGTGAGTGTGAGTGTGTGTGCGTGTGTGCGTGCGTGCGTGCGTGCGTGGGTGGGTGGGTGTGTGTGCGTGTGTGTGTATGTGTGCGTGTGTGTGTGTTGGTTGTGGCTATGATTGTGATTGTGATTGTGGCTGTGGTTGTGGTTGTGGTTTGAAGGTTGTGGTTGTGGTTGTAGTGGTGGTTGTGGTTGTGGTTGTGGTTGCGGTTGCGGTTGTGGTTGTGGTTGCGGTTGTGGTTGCGGTCGTGGTTGTGGTTGTGGTTGTGGTTGTGGTTGTGGTTGTGGTTGTGGTTGTGGTTGTGGTTGTGGTTGTGGGTGTGGTTGTGGTTGTGGTTGTGGTTGTGGTTGTGGTTGTGGTCGTGGTCGTGGTTGTGGTTGTGGTGGTGGTGGCTGTGGGCGTGGGCGCGGGTGTGGTTGTGGCTGTGGTTGTGGTTGTGGTTGTGGTTGTGGTTGTGGTTGTGGGTGTGGGTGTGGATGTGGGCGCGGGTGTGGGCGTGGGCGCGGGTGCGGGTGTGGGTGTGGGCGCGGGCGTGGGTGTGGGCGTGGGCGCGGGTGTGGGCGTGGGTGTGGGTGTGGGTGTGGGTGTGGGCGTGGGTGTGGGCGTGGGTGTGGATGTGGGTGTGGGTGTGGGTGTGGGTGTGGGTGTGGGTGTGGGTGAAGGCGTGGGTGTGGGCGTGGGCGCGGGTGTGGGTGTGGGTGTGGGCGTGGGCGTGGGTGCGAGTGTGTTTGCGGGCGTGGGCGAGGGCGTGGGCGCGGGCAGGGGCGCGGGCGTGGGCGCGGGTCAGTTTGCCAGCTCGAACGAGCCAGAAGGCTCCGTCCACTCCCACCCGCCCCCCCACAACATAAGAAGCAAGCGCGTCGCGTCCGACGCCTGTCGCTCATCCTAGATCGCGGGCGGCTAGACGTCCAGCGCGCGATATGAAGCGCGTCCTATTCCTGCCGCGCATTGAGCAACGTCGACGAAAAACAAAACCGCGCGCGATGTACGCCGCGCCCCGCTGCGGCCTCTCATGTTGCATCGTCGGCGACAACATGTCCAGCGCGCGAAGCGCACCGCGTCTCATTCCAGCCACGCGCGCCGGCGGCGAACCGCACTTGCTCGAGGCATTATGACGTGCCACCCGCCCAGATCCTCAACCCGACGGGCCGCAGCGTCGAGGACAAGAAAGTCCACGTTGGCGAGCAGGAGTCCCCGCGCGACGTGCGCCGCGCCCCATTCCCGCTACGCGATTCACAGCGCCGACGAGGAGAAAGTACATGTTGGCAACATGATCGGCCCACGAACCCGGAAAAGAATATAGAAATGTAAGGCATGGCAACGTTTCAAAGACACCTGATTGGGCGACGGGCAAATGCAATGCTGAATGTATCGATTTTGATGTACCGTGCCGAGGCCTGTGCTGTGCTGCGCCGTGCTGATGCTGAACTGCGATGTGCCATGGCGCGAGTGTGCTCTATAGCGTTGTGGATCCTCCTTTGCACCCGAGTCCTGACCGAACCGATCTGGATCTTGAGCTCGAGCTGCCTCAGCACATAGTAGCTGCCCCAGAGCTAATTGACAGGGGAACATGCCAGGAGGACGCGCCGCGGAACGTCCCAAGGGACGCGCCAGGCGACGTGCCAAGGGACGTGCCACGAAGACGCACCGCGGGACGTGCCGAGGGGACGCGCTACGGAAAGTGCCAATGGACGTGCCAGGAGACGCGCCGCGCGACGTGCCAGGGGGACTCGCCACAGGACGCGCCACGGAACGTGCCAGGTTGCAATGCTGAGTGTATCGATCTTGATTTACCGTGCCGAGGCCTGTGCTGTGCTGCGCTGTGCTGAACTGCGATGTGCCATGCCGCGATTGTGCTCTATAGCGTTGTGGATCGAGTCCTCCTTTGCACCCGAGTCCTGACCGAACCGATCTGGATCTTGAGCTCGAGCTGCCTCAGCACATAGTAGCTGCCCCAGAGCTAATTGACAGGGGAACATGCCAGTACGCGCCGCGGAACGTCCCAAGGGACGCGCCAGGCGACGTGCCAGGGGACGTGCCACGGGGACGCACCGCGGGACGTGCCGAGGGGACGCGCTACGGAACGTGCCAATGGACGTGCACCGCGCGACGTGCCAGGGGGACTCGCCACGGGACGCTCCGCGGAACGTGCCAGGCAACATGCCAGACTGCAATGCTAGGGGTATCGATATTGATGTACCGTGCCGAGGGCTGTGCTGTGCCTGGGCGACCTGGACACGTGAAGACACGCGTTTCGCTCAAGACGTTCTCAACACATCCTCATGCTAGACATCCGCCTGGGCAACCTGGAGACGTGCAAACAAGCGTCTCGATCGAGACTTTCTCGACACATCCTCATGCTAGACATCCGCCTGGGTGACCTGGACACGTGCAAACAAGCCTCTGGTTCGAGACATCCTCAACAAATCCTCATGCTAGACACCT